ACTGTTCTGGGTCTCGGTTAAGCCTTCATTGTAATGAGTACAGTACACCTATTCTTTTTACGCGGTCCATTTTACGCGATTTTGAAATAACGTGGTCGACAAAAGAAAACTAATGCTCTTTTTACAAGATTGATATTTTTACAAGGGAAGAAATAGTATTTGAATATTTTTAATTTTTCGTTCAAATTTTATTGTTAAAAAGTTACTTTTTCGTTAAAATAGTTAATTTTTCTTTTTTAAGCACAGTACAGTACTATATGTCGATTTTGTTTCCAATGCTGCTTTGTGTTAACATTATTCGTACTTTAATATAATAAACAATAAATGATATTAGAATAAAAAAAGTTTTTCTTTTGTCAATTGTTTGTTTTCGTGCCATTGAAGTGATAGATCCTATCGAGAATTTTCCTAATGGATGCATTTACTGTACTTCTTACGTGATTTTTTTTTTTTATACCATGTTCTTTTGAACATATCCACCGCGCAAAAAGGAGATGTTTGCCTTTTCAGCAGTAAAAACAACTGGAAGGTGACGCGACAGACTGAACAGCGACAATCATCAAGATTTCCAGTTTCTATACCCGATGCCAACACTGGCCGGTATCGGGACATCCCTAAATGTAATATTAGTACTAGTAATAATTTACCAATAATGGATGAAACTGAGCCTATATGGTCATACCGAATAGAATTTACGTCGAAATACTCATCGTAAGTTTGCGATGAGCTCTCGAATAAAATTATTATCTCAAAAAGTCTATTTATTTAATCAACATCGCAAAAAGATAGTTATACGTCTTCTACGAGTTAAAACGCAGTTACACTTTGCGTGTTTAACTCATTCTTTTTCATTAATTTACTTGATATAACATTTATATCAATTAGATTAATGTAATAAACTGTAACTGTTCGAAATGCGCTCCAAATTATGTTTATTTAATAAAATCCGGATCGATGAAACTAAATTCTTTTCGTGTTCTAAAATTAAATTTTTGTTTACTTTTTCCTGCCCATGGACCTCTTTTTATCAAGCTCACCGTGGGTTCGGCTAAGCCGAACCCACGGTGGTAGGTAGTGATTACTCCATTACCGTGGTAGTGAACCCACGGTAATGGAGGTAGCTGAGTGAGGGACATTATATATCTGGGACGATCACCCTACGAAAAATTCCTGGAATATTTTCGACTCGACCAGTTTTGATCCCAGTTAGAGTGGTAGGTTGACAACGTATACACCTCGATCACCCCGCAGTCGTTTCCAATTACTGTACTATAATCGATTAAAAATATTTAAATTTAAAGTTATTACATTTTAATATTTAATTATTTAACTAATTTTAAATTAATAATCCTTAATGCACGACTTTGCGGGCACCTTGTAAAAATGTGGAAACAAAATACATATGATAAATTATATAAAATCTTTTATTTATACATTCTGTAGATATTTACATATTATTTAACAAATCTTTTATAATAGTATTCTCCTGGAATTTCCTAGTAAAGCATAAATTCTTTTTCTTTAGTGACGATTTCTCATAAAATTCTAATTTTCTCTCTTCCATATCACTTTTCACAGATAAATTGTAAATTTCTCTAGAATTAATCTGTTTGACATTAATTGTTAACGAACTGTGAGAATTTCACATATTGCAAACTAAATTATATTATACTAAATGAATAATTTTATACAACACGATTAATCATACAATAATTTTAAAAGAGAAATTATCCTATAAATATTCATAGTTTCATTAAAATACAATTTGTCTGATTGATGCATCGAGTCTATACTCAGATTAAAACAATGATAGAATTTATTTATTTTTTTAAATCCAAAGTGTTATTTCATTAGTTGTTTCCGAGAAGATACGGGAAATAAATGCCATGAGACATTGATTTAGTCAATGTTTTAAATCTTAGTTATACTATTAATCAGAGAAAAACGTGTTTTATTTGAAATAAAATATTATTTGAATGTACTGTATTAAAGTTTACTTTTTCCTTTGTTTTGTTTTCCCTTCTTGTATAGCCTAATTGTCATATTTTATAGTATCATTTATTTATATAAAAAATACATTGATACCTAAAAAAAATTTAGGAAATTTCCATCATCGATTTAATGGAAAGTCCTGATTTCGTCCGTTATTTATTACACTATTATTAAAATCTCTAAGTCTAGTTTTAATCTGTGGGATGTCTCCCCGGAGAGATACAGGTCAGGTGTGATATAAATCGTAGAAACATTTTTGTAATTGCTTTAATATTGAATAAAATTATAATTTAAGAAAGAATGGGAAGTGAAAATCTTCCACCCTTTCTTAAATTAAGTTTATTTCGGGAGATACGTGAAGAGAGCGACTAAAATGTCTGAATTTAATTTTCATATTTCCCTCAGTAAATGAGAATTTCTAAAAAACTGGAAATAAAATGTTTGAATTCAAATGTTAATTATTTACATTGTTTTAAAGTGATGATAGTCTTTAATAGCTTTATAAATGATGAACAATCTCGGAAAATCCTATCAATAGATATAAATTTTAATGTCTTCCACTAAATTATTGTATTTGTGATCAATAAAATTAAAGTGCAATTCGATTCTCAATATAATATAAAATCTATCGTCTTTATTCTTCATAGAAATTTAGAGACTACATTCCTATTAATTAGTATCTAAAAAACTATATTTTTTCAAATTTTAATTTGGTTATTAATACTTTTATAAATTATATATAGTACATTTTTATTAAAACATATATAGAACATTTTGATGAAAGTATAAAACTATGTCGATATTAAAATTAATGACTTAAGGTGCTTTAACATATTTAATTACTTTCAGCGTATTGTAAATCAATAGGATGGTTAATCGAAAGGAGTAATTTATGATCTTGCTGATTTATATATAGAAATTCATTTTTTATTTTTTAATTCGAGTTAAATATCTTTTTGGGTCAGCTAACGTTTACTTTTACTGCTTATTTCTTGTACTTTTTTCACTACAACAAACTTAATATCTTAATTTGAAACATTCATTATTAGTGTTATATACTGTATTACTATTACTTAAATGTTTAAATTGTCTATTTAGTAATCTAAATAGCTTCTAATGTAGATGAAAATTTCTAATGATACATAATTTTACAATATACAGTATTGTGATATCTCTCTAAAGTGGGCTGTTAATTGAAACCAGCAAACATGTATGTAGTTTTCTTCTTTTCTATTGAGAAGCCTCTCTAAATTGGACACATTTTTGTGGAACTCCAGACTCCCACTAGAGAGGTTTTACTATATGTCTCTTTAAACTACAAAAATATATAAATATAAACAAATCTAAAACAATTTACTTTTTATAATAATTAAATAATAATAATTTCATTTTTATTGAAGTTGATAATTAAAATATCTCTAATTTAATTACATTTTAATATGTGAGAGAAGACATAATAAAGAAATCATCATACGAGGTAGTAATATTTTTAAATAATTCTTCACGAGTTTATTATAGAAAGACAATTTCATAAATTAATTTTGGAAAAAATTGAATTTCTGTACTCTTAAATACACTAAATTTAAATTAATTTGTTCATATAAATTATTTTAAAATACATTTATTTAAATTACTATATTAGTAATACAATATACAAAATTACAATTATTACAGAGTTCTGTAATCGACTTTCATTTTACAGATACTAAAAGTGTAATAAATCTTTATTATAATTTGATATATTTACAATAAAACTAAGAGTACTTCGAAGTACTCTAATCAATGTTATCACTATAATTTAAGATCATAAGTTATTTCTAACGCGTAATTCATTAAAACAAACTGAAAATAAATATAAAATTTTTGGACGGAATATTCGTTAAATTTTTGACAAAACTTTAATTTACTTTCTAATAAGTATTTATAATAGTACACAGGTAAGAGGAATATGTAAATTTACTAAAATTTTAACAGTATTTTATTTCATTTTTATCTTGTGATTATATTATCTAGAGCAAAAGATACTAGAATCTTAATTATGAACTTAATAACTACAATCAAATTCTTAAATTTAGTACTAAATCAGGAAATAATAATGATAAAAATACGCTAATGTGAATATAAATGATATGTACTACTCATTTTTAATACTAATTGCCGGTCATTCGTTATCGTCATCTTTTAATTTAATTCTAGGCACTTTATTCTTAGGTTTCCTTTTAATTTAATTAAATAGTCAGATATATGAGATAAAATAAATTTTGAAACCAAATATAAATGAATAAAAGTATAACCATGAATAGAAGTATAGGTAAAATTAAATGAATATTCCCCGGAGATCTTGCCATTCAGATATATAAATCACTTAATAGATGTTCAGTTATCAATCCAGAAGTTATTATCATTCAAAATTCTTACATAAATTAAAGTTTATACTGAATTTGTTATAAAATATAAAAAAATAATAATTTCTAATGTATTCATATAACAGATATTTGCATTTTATTAATAAGATTTGTATTAAAAATATTAAAAAGAAAACTTATGAAAAAGGTATAAATAAATAAATTAACATAAAACTTATATAAATGAAAGTTTACAACGATTTTAAAAATAAATTTTTATAAAATAATTATTCTTTTGATACTGTGGTAACATAGAATTCTTTTAAAAGTGAAGAAATTATAAATCTGCATCGTTTATTCTTATCAACAGGTGAAAAATTTGAGTAACAAGTATTAAAATTTAAAAGATATCATCTAATTTAATACTAAGTATTTTAGTAAATTCTTTGAAGTTATAACGTAGCAATTATCATTTACAAATATTACAAATTAAACAGTAATAGTAATTAGTGTTTTCTTTTATGTTATAATAAAGTTTTCTTAACATTAAACGACAATGATCCTCTTCGATTTAAAGTAAAATTATTTAAAAATATAATGATATATCTATATCTATATATTATTTACTCATTTCATTTTAATGATCTTAATCCAGTTAATTCAGTTTTATAAAAAAAAAGTTATATTTTTACACTATAAATGCTTTTTATCTTCGAAAATTTATTAAAATTTGAAGCTTTATCCCAGGAAACACACGGAAGAATAATTAGAAGTTCAGAGTTTGTTTCTAAAACAGAAAAAAATAACGTTTTAATCAAAGAGTAATGAATATTTAAATGAATAAAATTAAACTATTTATATATTCATATATCTTGTTAGTATTAAATTTGATATTTAACTTAAAATATTGATTTTTTTTATTTTATAAGAATTTTGTTTTACTTAAATACTATATTTAAAAAGAAATCGGTTTGAATAATGCACAACTCTTTGAACTGATTAAAAAAATATATCATTAAAATTTTTCATAACGATACCCAATGAGTTACTGTTCATTTGCTTCAACAAAATAATGATATAGATTTGTTCATTTGTAATCTATTTGGTTAAAATTCTGTCTGGTGATGTCTTATAAATAGTTTACTAGAACATAAATACAACTAATAATGGATAAATTTAACGTTCTTTAAAATTACAAAACGTTTGGCCATTCTAAACTTTTAATACTCGTTTAATTATTATAGACTCTGGGTCTACATTGGATACACACTACATCAAGAAAATACTGTATATTAGGCCTATATCGGCTAGATTTCGACGAATACTGAAAAACTAAAATAATCAAATAAACAATAGATCTTATTATAAATTCGAAATATACATTGTATAAAAGAATATCACGCCGTCTTTTATTGGATGGATAACTTTCAAGGAAATTTTTACAGATAAAATTTGATATACTCTATCCCTTATAAACATCAGTCAAAATTCGACACTTTAAATCTAAGAATTTACTATTGGAAATGGAAAAAGTAGTAATAGATAGAAGTGATTCTTGTAGATACAGATCTTATGATCATTAACTGAAACTCGCCAAATTACAGCATTAAATGATTTGATATCGATCGTGTTCTTATATAATTTATTTTTTCCTGTATCATTTAAATTATGTGTTAGAAATGAAAGAATATCTCTTATGATTTTCTTCAAATTATGATTATTACTATTTTATTTTATATAAAATTCAAGAATAATGAATAAAATAAGTAAATGCATGCAAGTATTTATATTTGTATGTATTTGTTTTTCAGATTTTACCGTTTATTTACAGAAAATCTATTGTTCCTATTGTTATATATTTTTACTAATATTGAAACAATTTTCTTTTATACGAGTTGAGAGGAGACTGAATATTAAAATAGCTCTAAAAGGAGGTGTAAGTAAAAATGTTTGCGCACTCTGAACCTAGAGAATGCTATTTCGTTCACTACATGATCTTATTTATCTTACGTATTCAGTTACAGAATCTCAAAATAAACTGTAGAGGACCATTTTTGTACTGAAATTTTAATGCAATTTATATGCAAATTTATTCATAAATAGATTTTACTAGTAAAAACATTTATTATTTATCAAGAAACTAGTTTATAGATATATGTATTCACGTGACTAAAAAAATATTAAAAGAAATAAACTTTTCCAGGAATGTTTTTATTCGATTTTTGTTTAAAAAATCAAATATACAAAAATATTTAAATTACAAACTATAAATTAAAAGGAAGAAAATGTTATTTTTTTATTTTATTTTAATAAAAATATATTAAAATTTGACATTAATGCAAATGTTTATTTAAAAATTTTTGATAATTTAACGTGTATTTTAATAAATTTTCATCAGAAGTTTCGAAAGAAATTTTAACATTGTGAACTTTTAATAGAAATTTAAAGTTATTCTTAATTAATGAAAAATAACATAAAATATTAAGTTAGATATGTAAGTTATTTGTACACATGTTCAATTTAACATTTATCCAAGCGCTAAAGATATGGTTTCTAGAAATCAAGAGTACAGGTATACCTCGACTTACGTCGTTTCGAGTTACGTCGTTCCCGATTATACGTCGTTTGTCAAAAAAGTATACGGAAAAATAAAAATCAAGTTTAAGTCATTTTATTCGACTTTACATCCGTCCGCCACAAATATTGAAGTCGTAATATCACTAGAAAAGCGTTTAAAGCACATAAAATCATATTAAAATATATACATTTACAAGTATGTACTGTATTTACAGAACAGTACATGCATTCGTAAATTTAGATTACTTTTTTCTGTACTCTATTAAAAACTAAAATTTATTTGTTTGTAAGCTTAAAATAGATTCTTATTAACCATATATTATTAAAAATGAATTAATAAATAAAATACAGAACTGGGAATAGTAATTTATGGTTTAGCCTAGTGACAAGTAGATTCGGAGACAAGTAAATTCGACTTACGTCGTTTTTCGACTTAAGTCGTTTTCCTGGAACCAATTACTGACGTAAGGCGAGGTATACCTGTACATCCTTCCAACAATAATAGAACATACAGTGATTGCCTGGAAACTGTTATTTTCATGTAACTTTAATGACATTTTCTAGTACATTTTATAGTAAAATACCAACAATTATTGCAAGTTTGGATAAAAATGATTAATAAACAAAAGAGTTACTGTTAGCAAAAACAGAATGTCCAACATTAATAGAGCATCTTGACTTATGATATCATCAAGTTAAAATTAGTAGCTGATTTTGCTACCATTTTTGGAAACAAGCTGAAAAATACAATTAGACATTGAATTAATGAAAGATTGCAGTTATTCCTGTGGAATATTTTCCCATGCCTCAATGAGAGCAGTCTTTAGTTCAGTGACGGTTTTGTATTGCTTTCCTCTGCTATACATTTGGAAAACCAAGTCACCCCAAAGATTTTCAATTGGGTTTAAATCTGCACTGAGGGGTGGCCAGTCCAAAAGTCGGATGTTCTTGCTTTGAAAAAAGGATAACGTTGATTTTGATACAAGGAAGCTTGCATTATCCTCAGGAGTGGAGCTACATAGGGATTAATAGGGCTTAAACCCTGGGCCCCCAAATGCCAAGGGCACACAAAAATTGAATTATTATCATAAACTATTAATACTTTTTCTGATAAAGTTTGTCATTCAACAACATTTCATAAATAAATATATTTCAACTCTGATTTTGATGTTATTAAAAATGAATTTTAAATACCAATTTAAAGATTCTTAATCTAACAAAAAATGAGGCCCATTGGATTTCAATAAGCCCTAGGCCCCGAGAAACCTACATCCGCTCCCGATTATCCTGCATGAATTCAAAGTCCTGTCCAGTAATTTTCTGTCCATAAATTTGGAGCTGCCTCCAGACAATCTCCTGATAAATTTGAGTTGTTTCGGCGTTCAATAAATACTAGATCTATCTTTCCATTCTATCCAATACCCGCCCAAGTCACGAGTGTACCAACACCAGTTACTCTCTTTGAGTACTGCTTTTGATCTAGTCTTTTGTCGGCCCAATATTACTTAAAACCATCAGATCCGTCGAGATTCCACTTTTTCTCATCCAAGAAAATTAATGTCGCCATCCTTCCTCTCTTTCAAAGTTGTTTCTGGTAAACTGTAATCGAAGTTGTGTTTCTCCTTGCCTATCTTCATTTTGATGAAAGAAACATTGTCTGTTGATCTCAAAACATTGCGTACTGCAGCTGAGCTTCAATTCATTTTTGAGTTTTTGAACAGATGTGTTTCCTTTCAGTGTTCGTCGAACAATTGCACGTCGTTCTCTAGGTGTTGTTGAATTCTTGCGCCCACTGTTTCGTTATCCTGTTTGTTGCTCCTTATTATTGAGATACTTTGAGATTGTTGAATAAAGTCTTCCCAAACTTTTAACAATCCAAGTTACTTTTCTCCTTTCCTGGTGAAATACATCAATTTTGATCTTCTCTACAGTTAGGTCCTTCCCACGTCCCATTTTTAATTGTAAGGTACTATGCAATTTATTAAACTTTTTTTCCACTTGCTGATCGTATTTTATGCAAAATTCATGGATTCAAATCATTACTATTTTGTAATTAATTCCAATCAGTATATGTTCTATTAATGTTGGAAATCCTATTTTTGATTATAGTATCTCTTTTGTTTATTAATGATTTTCTTCAAACTTAAGCAATAATAGTTGATATTTTATCAAACGTACTAAAAATTTTATCAAAATTACATCAAAATAATAAAGAGTTTCTAGGCAATCACTGTATGTTCTATTGTTGTTGGAAGGACTGTATACGCATATAATGCATTAGTTCCAAAGCAATGTTTACAGTAAAATAAATTCATTCATTCAAAAAGAAACAAGTGTAAATTGCGCTATAGTATCAAGGCAATAGGTAAATTTTCCCACTTTTCCCGAACGGAAGAGTAACAGAAAATAATCGCTTTGAGAAAATTTAGCGTAACGTATGAAGAATCTTTTACTGTAAACAATTAAAATCAACATTGTATAAATTAATTTTTAAAAAGCTTTATTTTTCTAATTTTAAAGAGACCGCCTTCAGCAGTAATACAAAGGTATAGAAAGATAGTTGAATGTAGCGTTGAGTGGCACAGTATACCTGGCATCACTGTTACCAAAAGCCTCTTGTATTTGCCTCTGCAGTTCTTCAGCACCACGAAACACTGTTGGTTACGCGTTATAAACTAATGTTTTTAGATTACTCCATAGGAAAAATTCAGCGAAATCAAATCTAGGGAACGTGATGACCATGGAACAAGAGTGCGATGTCCTATCAATCGGTTGTCTAACTGCTTTCTGAAACTGACACACGTTTGCCCGGGAATGACCTAGTGCGTCACCTGCTAAAACCAAACCTACCGCAGTTGCTCCAACGGCAAGTTTTCGAGAGCGTCGAATCATCGCACAGGCGCAAGAAGCGCGCGTTTAGGATCTTCGAAAGTTAGCAGCTTGAAAAAGCATTCTGCGAACCTCAGGCAGAGATATCATCTTCATCAAGACAATTTGTCGTCAAAGGAGTAGTAAATGCTTTATTGTGATTACTTGTTATTACAATCAACAACAAGGACCCATTCAAACAGTAAAATTCATTACAATTTAGTCGATTATTAGAATCATACCATCAATATTAAAATTGAATAATCAGTATTTTAATTTCCCAGTTCTTATATATAACAAAGAGAAAAACAGGGCAATCGATCAAAAAATGATTCCCCAAGA